ATAGGCTTGAGTAAGACTACCTGAGTCCTCAAAACGCAACATATTACGAAGGAGAATCACTCTTACTATGATGGTCTCAAGGATCAGGACTTAATATTCCAAACTCTGGGTTGTGGCTAAGGCTGACTTCTGTAAATTTAGGATCCATCTGAACCTCTCCAGAATGTGCACTGTTCAAGACACTTTGGTCTCTAACAGAGAAGCGGATTGCTCTCCCAGAAGTAAGTCATTCAGATAACCACAACAGGGATACCTTGGTACATCTAACCCCCTAAATCATAGTCAGTACCTTGGTGAACACAATGGAAGTTGTGGCCAAATGACAGGGCAACAATTTTAAATGGCAGTACCTCACTGCAAACTGCAAGCCCTTTGGTGAGGTGGAATGACTGGAACATGCAGGCAAGCATCTTTGACATCCAGATGTCAAAGGGTTTGATATTGCCATGCTGGACATTTAACAAATAGAAAAAAACAGCAAGGAGACAAAAAAAATTACGGTACTCAACATGATCAACAGAGGACACTTTAATGTGTTACTAAACCCAGGACCCTGCATTCAATATATCTGGTGTCCCACAGTACACAGAACATGGAAGTGTAATTATTTTAGTAAATATAAACTGCTAAATACCTTTTCTCATCAGCAGTTAGAGCAGTCTTGTGACTTCAGCAGAGCACTGGTTAAAGCTTGTAGGAGTAGGAGGATGCAAAACCCCCAACCTCTGTCTGGACAGTGTTAATTGGCCCTGTGCTTATCACATGCACTCTCCCAAGAAAAAAAAACAACCTCTCTAGCAATACACACTAAACTGAACATGTGCAGAATGGCTACGGTTCAGTCTGTCTTATCAGGAGATATGCCATGGACATTTGAACAAGAGGAGTAGCAGAGAAGTCAGGATCAAATAACATTTTTACACAATGCAGAGGATTAACCCCTTAGGTTCCACAGTGAGTATAACAAGCATGCTTTACTGCATATACAGACTGATTTTACTGTTATGGGTTTAGTAACACTTTCATTTGCTTGCATTTGGCTTTTAAGCCAGGATTTTGACAACTGTGAACTGGAAATTCCCAGAACTTCCAGGTTTATACATGTTTCCTGATCTCCTCCTGTTTGCCATCCTGACAGTGTTTGCTGTAGTCCTGGAGTGTCCACGCCGACACTGTGCACTCACTCCACCTGCTCTCCTTCCCCAGTTTCTGCACCCATCACACTGACAGGTGCAGGGCCAAGAAGATTTGTACTAGGGGTGGGCGGAGCCTGATGGGGAACTGAGAGACTATTTGCTCATCAGGTCCACTTTATTTCTGATTGACAGAGAAAGGCAATGGGTTGGGGGGTTGATGTTTTTGTTACTGAGAAGCTGACTTTTAAATAAACAAATCAGACCTGTATCACAGAGGACTACCGAAAAAAAAAAGAACACCCTACTGTAAGAGAAGGAGGGTGAAGGAGGCAGGGCAACCTGACCTTTACTTCAGAGGGGAGGATTTTTAGGTGTACAGACATAAAAAATGTACCCCAGCGCTACAATCAACTATAATCTTTAACATGATATCACTTAAAAGCCTACTTTTTTAGCTTTCATTAAACTTTCTGCTGGTAATACTAATATAAGGTCCTTGTTTGGGCACTAACTAGTATTATGGGGTGACAAAGCTCTATCCCGATCGCCCACAATCTACTGTCTGTAAATCAAGCTATCCCATGATCATTCATGAAGTGCCTAAATAATTTGTACAGTATACTGTGCCCTTTGACTTCCAAAAACCTGGAAGTGACATGGACAGTCTAGGTCTAGCTGGGTCCAGAGGTAGGTTCTGCTGAGCCTTTCTTTGGAATAGACTGCCTACCCTATGCTTGTCTATTCATGCACATTGTGTGTGTACCTTGTATGTAAGTGTGCTACTGTGAGATACTGTGACAGTCCATATCTGTGAGTTAACATGATCCTAGAGGAGTTCTCTGAGGATATAATGTGGCTGACCTTGCTAATATATGTTAGTTCAGGTCCACTGGATTGGGGAAGTTTAATGGAAGTGGGATCCACTCACACTAAAATGGATTTCTTGTACACTCTGATATCATTTTTTTAAATTTAGTATTACCCTCTCAGGGGCCGCTGAGTAATTTTCAGGTTCCATGTCTTTCTTGACCCTGCTCTGGAATCCCAACCCTTGCTGACACCACCTTAAACCTCTGGCTAAAAGAACCATCTGGCTGCAACCATAAAGTAGACTTGCATACAGTTTAGAATTAACTGATATTTTGATTGTATTAAGGTCAAATAAAGCAACAGAGAAACATGTGCATGAAATAACAGCTATTACTCTTACTAACAGGTAAGGGTCATAACACAGCACAATCTCAATCAGTTCTAGATGTCCTGCAAATCAGAATTTAAATGGCAGCCTCAATCCTGAGATGTTTCTTCACCAGTGAGCCAAAAGACTTTCCAACCAGAAAGGCTAACTCACTCTGTGCTCTTGGGCTGATGCCTGGGATTAATTCTAAGGAAAGAAGAGCTCTTCAATGAAATTGATCAATGTCCCTTTGAACTGCAGTATCTGATCTTCTCTGGACTCATTGGGGCCCTAGTTGGTGCACATAAGAATTAAAATATTCCTTGAGGCAAAGGTAGAAGTTCCTTAATAGGAGATGAACACAAAGAAAATGAGCAGCCCCTTTAAGTGCTATTTAGTTTGGACTGTACCCCTTTAACACCTGCAAGGTGGGATGTAGAATTAGGTAAAGATTAAAGAATGGGCAAAAGACGCTTCTGCAAGGATTAGTTCTTCTTTGGACCACAGTGGCAAACTGCAGCAATGAAGGAGCTCTTTGGTGAATAGGGTTGACTGTGATGGAAGCAATAATACAGCATGACCTGTGGAGGACACTACAGTAGGCTCTTGTGATTGGATATGCTGAAAGTGTAATAACTAGTAGGCCGGAACTGGGCCTTAACACATGTAACTTGAGAAATGGTGTCAGTCAAACTGAGTAGAAAGTAGCTGAATTTAATTATGTCGTTTGCAATTTAAATGGCTTGAGAATGGAACTCTTTTACCCGATCCGTGGCTTTGGTCTCGTAGTGGATAGTCTTCTGTAGACAGAGGCCCCTATGTTCCTGTGGTTCCTCTTTCAGAGATCACTCTGGACAGTGGTCCACCTGCTCAAAGGGAAGTTTGCCAGACTCGTCAGCGGTCAGCAATTCCTTCTTTCTCCTCCACTCTCTCTGGGGCCTGGCCCAGCCTGGACCTCCAGTGTCCCGCATAGCCTTCTCCTCACACCTGCTCTCCAGCTTTCCTCACTTCACTTCCTGTCCTCAGGTTTGTGAGCTTTTGTATTTATCTGCCCCAGTCCATTAGCTACCTTTTCTTGGAAGTGCAGTTTGCTAGCTCACTGTGAAACAGTGAAGTCTTGCAATCAGCCTAAGAATCCCACAAAGCTTTTCATCAGAGTCTGTGTAACTGGGCTACAAGACACTGCCATCTTGTGTCCATTTAACATCCTGCAATCAGTATTACAGCAGGGTGTTTCAAAAGTGAAACAGCATGATATACTGAACAAATGATATGGACACTTAAAGCTCACTGTGAGACATTCACATTCATTGTGTACCTTTTTTATATGTAAAGATTTTAGCACATATTCTGTTATTTATTGCTCAATTGTTGCTTCTTTAGAGCTGTTTGTTTACATTTTATTAGCGTTACACTGCATACACATATATTTCATGATATACCGTTACTTATTTCTAGCACACTATTGCATTAAAACAGGGGTTCTTAGTTTACATACTGTATATTGCAATACATGATAAAGTTGACCAACTGCATCAAAGTGATCCTTCCCTGGATATGTGATATACCTTTTTGTTATCTGTTATGTGTGAGCATGCAGGAAGATGGGCTGTACAGTAGTATGCTCACAACACACTTCTTTAGTGAAGGATCAACATGTGGATTGGGATCCCCATTCTTCTGATTTAGCTGGCTTGTTCATCATAAATAGTCGATGTTTCCCACCTTCCACATTGATTGCTACATTACGAGCATCAATGTTATCTAGTTTCATCTGTTACAGGTGCTGTGCACTCTCTTCAAAGTTACTGTCAGAACCTGGATTACCTGCCGGAGGCACTGTGTTTCCCGAAGTGGAAGTTTGTATTTCCGATACCAGCAGATGCTTCCCAGAAGCCAGCAGTTTCCAGTAATCAGTTTCCAGCTTATGCTGGCTGCTGGGAAGGTTTTTAGGTCCTCCTCTGCTAGTGCCTCTCTTTCTAGTGTTTGCTACTGCCAGATTCTGTTTGCCATTGAACCTGATCTTGCTCCTGCTCTGTACCCTTGTTCTGTTTCTCCAATCTAAGCATTGATAGTGTGTTCTCTGTAACTTACAGTTGTGATGAGATAGCGATAACTTCAACCTCAGTTGGATACCACAGTCAGTGACACAATCGATAAGACATCTTGTAGATCTTGTGAAGTTTATTCCATAAACTGAGAGAATCTTACAACAATGAACATTCGATAGGGCAAAAGATCATAATGTTTCCTGCTCCATGACATAAGGCTAGAGCTACAATGCATTTCTGGTAAAGGGGGAGGGCTATCTATACAGCATTAACCTCCCTAGCGGTCTGATTATTTCAGATTTTTGGTGCTGAAAGCGGTACCATTATTGTGCATGGAAATATGTAGTTTTTTTATTGTAGGCTGTAATTTTTAGGAATAACTCACTGAAATCTGTCCGAACAAGAGTCTATTAAACATCCCGGGTATGATAAAATTTGAAACATGAAATCATAAATTATAATTTAAGAAATAATCATAAAAAATAATAATATAATAATAATACATTTAATTCAATAATATAATCAAACCAAAAACACTGAAATTTGAAATAGAGCGCCAAGTTCGCACATTGCCGAGCAAAGTCGCAAAATCGGTTTCAGTGTCTGATGACGAATTTCCCCACGAATCATTATCACTCAATTTTGCAAGTGGTTCTGATTTACTATCGCTGTTCTCTAGCTGATCTAAACCCGCTTTTGACCTAAAGGGACACTTTTTGGACGCCATGGACTTTTCTCAGTTTCCAGGCAGAAAGAACAGACAAAATGCAGGCAGGGCACAGGACAAAGCACTAGGGACAAAATGTATATGAAACGGGTTGAAACAGAAATGTTTTGCTATGTAAAATTTGTTTGGAAAAAAATGGCTTTTTTAAAAATTTTCAAATTTCCGCCGGCGTCCGTACGTCCCGACGTCACAGGGACCGGAACACAGAAGCAAGATGCCGGCATCGGCCGGAGGAGATGGCCGGGGACGCTGCAGGGGACACATCACGGGAGCGAATGACAAGGTAAGCTCTGCAGGGACTCCCAATGCAGTCCCACATGGTAAGCCCGAGTGTAGCTCGGGGTTACCGCTTTTGGCACTGACATTTTACCCCGAGCTACACTCGGCAATACCGCTAGGGAGGTTTACTAAACCCAAGGAAAGGGAGGAGCAGAAACAAAATATAGAAACACTTAAAGGCATATCACAGTCAATATGACAGTCTTGTGAAACATGACAACCCTGTACCTTGCTGCCTTGCACCTGCTCCCCCATGCTCCTTATGCCAGTTTTGCTCCTTTTTCCCATCTGCTTCCTGCACCTCCAGTTTTCCCCTACTTTTCTGTGTTCTCCATTTTGTATATAGTCAGTTGTTAGTTAGGCTTTCTGTTTATCAGGTTGATTAGTTAGGTATTCTGTCACTGGGTTTTTGGTTCACTTTTATTTTTATCTTTGTTGTGTGCTGGTGTTTGGATATGTTTTTATGTTTTGGTTTACTGTAAATAAATCTCACTTAAATCATACACAGTCTAGACCCATGATTCCTGAGTGTAGCTATGGAGATTTAGCCATCTCTGCTGCGGACTCCTAACAGTGACATTCGGGATGTTAACTACATATTGAATTGCTAAATGGATTTTGCCTACATGTTGCATTTTTTTTTTTTGGCACATAGCCACCCGATGTTGAGAGGTAGTCACAGATTTATGCTGTGATCTGGTATATACTATATATACTTTCAGTAGGCACCCTTTAAGGCAGGGGTGTCAAACTCAATTTAATCACGGGCCGCATCAGCATCATGGTTGTCCTTAAAGAGCTGTTGGATCTGTAAGACTATATGCCCAGAGCACCACCCCCCTTTACCTCAGATGACAAGAGCCACCCCACCATCAGAAGTCAAGAGTCCTCCACCCTCCCTTATATCACAGTGCACCCTGCTTACCTGCTGCTGGAAAGAAGCTGGGGGCAGAGCTAGGAAGCAGAGAGTTCAGGGTCTGGAGGAGGACCAGAAGAATGCTGGAGTCAGCTGCCTGAGTCTGCTGAAAGCTGAGACCAGGGGAAGTGGAGATGAGGGGGTGCAGCAACTGCAGAGAGGGACGCAAGATTAGAAGGAGGAGTTCTGCCTTCCTTTCTGCTGCCAGATGCTGAGCTGGGGGTAGAAAGGAGCCTCTCTGTGGCCACACAGAAAAGTGCAGGAGTTCTGTCCTCTTTGCTGTTGACTGCTGAGACAAGGTGTGGGCGGCGGAGATGAAGGGGGTGCTGCAGCTGCAGGAGAGGTGCTAGGGCCACATGAACTGGCCTGGAAGGCCCCCCGGGCCTTGTGTTTGACATGTGCTTTAAGGGAAAGTGGAGATGACTGCCATAAAAGGATTTTCTGCATTTAATAACCATGATTTGGTACATTGAACCATATTACATTTGATCAATTAAATGTTATATGGATTTCCATTACTCTAATGGACATAGAGACATTCTAAAATGCATTCGAATTCACACAGGTGTGAGCCGGGGCTAAAATAGATAGAAGTGCTATATATGATTGATTTTGTTATGTAGCACATTTTTTTTATTATTATTATACAGGATTTATATAGCATCAACGGTTTGTGCAGCACTTTACAAAATGAAGGTAGACATTACAGTTACAATACAATTTGGTACAAGAGGAAACAGAGGGCCCTGCTCGTTAGAGCTTACAATCTAGGATTTTATAGCTAAACTGAGTAAATATCTGTTGTAGTCGCAAACTGAGCTTTTTTTGTGGATACAATTTGATTTCTATAGCTACCCAGATTTGAATTTGGTGTTTTTTTATATTTTGATATGAACATTTCACTGCGTAGATAAAAATATTTTACCCCAGAGTCAATGTCAATTATGACAGGTGTACTTTAACAGTTAATTTGCTTGTTCGTTTATCTAGACTTAACTGTAACACAGTGTTTGCAGGGATTTACAATGACTCTATATAGTAGAGAATCTGCGGGTGGCATGACAGTGTTCAACATTTTGTTACATTTCAATAAAGTTGAACAAAGAAACGCATAAAGGTATATACTATGATGTGCAATTTACAACACATCGGCTCCACCATCACAGCACACACAAGCAGCTGCAGTATAATGAAGCCTCTGGTGTGAACAAGTCCTTGAAGTGTAATTCCACTTTTGTTAAAAAAAAAAAAAAAAACAAATCTCCTCTGAGTGATCTATGCCAATTGCAAGGATTTGTAACACTTGCACTCCAGAGGATTTACCCCCTTCCTGACCAGGCCATTTTTTGCAATACGGCTATGCAGAGCAATATAAAGCAGCTTGTTCATGTTTACACACAGGTCTCTCCCCTTTCACTGTTCCTCAGCGATCGCCAGGTGCCAGCGGGGAATTTCCAGCCGGGACGCGGTGATCGACAGCTGTAGCCGCCAATGCATCTCCTCCCCGGAGATGCAAAATCATGTGTATATATATATATATATATATATATATATATATATATATATATATATGTGATTTTGGGCAGCCCTGCCGCCCTGTAGCAGTAGTTCTGCTATAGGGTGGCGGGGAAGCAGTTAAACGTTGTAGATTCCTACCCTTTTCTGCTCTGAAGAAATGACTGTTCATTTTGCCATCTCGTTTGTAGACTGATTCTAAATGGGAAGGTCTGTTTCATTATAATCACCTGGTGTACTCAGTGATCAGATAAGAAAAGCTGCAGTGTCAGCATCCTTCTAGAAGAAGTAACTCAGGAGGAATATCTCACCAAAGCTGAAACTACCATTGCAGGGGATGCCTAAAGTTTGACTTTCTGGGAAAATCAGTGAGCCAATCACACAAGCAGGAAATAATATTTCTGTGGCCATTCTGTACACTTGTGGTGCACAGAACACATCCAGGTTGTCATGTTGCACTGAATTTTACAGAGCATTACCAAGACTGCATATTGGAAAGAAAAAGTAGATTTTAAAAACAATAAATTACAATATGGCTTGTCTATCAATTGTATATTCAATATTATTATTTTTTATTATTTTTTTCCCACAAAAAGTGTAGTTATCATTTAAATGGTTAGCGTGATGGAGGGAAACAAGAAAATGAGAAATACATACATCATGTTCATCTTTCCTCCCTGCAGTTACATTCATTTAATGCAACTGTTCTTTAAAACAAAGAGAGTCCTGTGGGGAAGTAAAATGAGCTTCATGTGCACGGTAAAATGTACATTGTAAAATATACAAAAGATACCGAGCTTATGGCTAAGATACATATTCAATGAAAATATTATTGCATCTCTGGTTTCTGCCTTTTTTAAAATATTTCTTAATAATTTCATTAAGACAGATGTGTTTTATACCTCTTTTGGTTTATTATTTCATTTTGTTTTGTGCTCTAATTAGCTCTGGGGGATATAATGTCCTGTAAAAATGTAAACCCTGCTCCATAAGTACAACTCTTGCCTCAGGTGTACAGAAGCACCTTGCAAATTAACCCATGACAGCTGTTAATGAAGGGGAGGAAAGTGTGAAAGTCAGAAACAGCTGAATCACATATTATAAACCTTACAGTATGTAAGGCCGGATTTATAAAGCATTGAATGTGGCTTCACCAACCCTTCAAGGCCAGTTCACACTACATGCCTTTCAGTTTCTTTTTGTCTGAATCCAAAATGCACAGAAAGTAGGTTATATGGTTGTCAATGTCATAGTTCACATCAGTGCTTGCAGTTCCAGTGCGTTCCAGAAAAAAAAAAGCAGAACAGGCTGCATTTTTCCTGCACAGAACTGCACTGGAACATAGTAAAACGCATAAAAAATGCACCGGAATACACTGGAATGCATGTCCCTATTTGAAATTAAAGAAAGAGAGGGAAAATAATGAACTGGAGAGCATCAAAAACACACTGGAATGTGTCAAAAACATGCATGCAGAAATGGACCCAGAACTCATGTGGACTGCGTTTCTATAGTGTGAACCAGCCCTTAATCACTGTCATTTAAAACACATGCATCATAGAAGATTTGCCTGCAGTGAATGTTGGGTGAATGTCAGATTAACTGCTTTATAAATATGCCCTTAAAAAATGGCACTGCATCCCAGTTATCACAGCACAGGCCTTGGTAAGTGTGAGTCGGGTTCACATTATGTGGTGCAGGACACCACATGTAATTCGCACAGTATCGCGCTGCATTCCTGTGCAACTTACATGCAAACATCTGTGTGGTACAATTTGAGCCATACATTTTGTATGACTCAAATCACATCGCATCTACACCAAAAAGGTGCAGGACCCTTTTTTAAATCCGTACCTGATTTCAGGCAATCGCATCGTGTTTTGCGATCTGTTTCGGAGTGTCATTAAGTTATTATTGACACCCACACCAGCGGGACTGGCTCCCCATCATGTGACAACCAATCACAGTGGTCATGTGATCAGGCAGTCCTTACCAACCCCAAAGCATAAAGACCCAATTACAGGGATGACGGGACTGGCCTGGAAGAAGTTAGATAAAATATCGCTTTTGGATAGATTGGCCCTTTAAGCCCAATTTCAGGTAGAAAAAAAAATAATCCCTTTCAGTGGGCCTGTCCCTGCACTTCAAGGGTTAATAGCTCATTTTGTCTAGGGGAGAGAAGAACCAGGTTTACTTACCTGATACTCTGCTCCCCTGGTGCTTCCCCACAATCCAGCAGTGGAGTGTTCCTTGGCATCCTCACGCAGAGCTATGGACCCTGCTCTGGCCTTGAAGACATCAGGACTCTAGACCAGGGGTCTCCAAGCTTTCTAAACAAAAGGCCGGTTTACTGTCCTTCAAATTTTAGGGTGGCCAGACTGCCCCATCATTGGTATTAGAAGGAGTAATAGTGCCCCATTGTTAGTATCAATGGGAGGAAAGGTGCCCCATCATTGGAATCAATGGGAGAAATAGTGCCCCATCATTGGTATCAATGGGAGAAATAGTGCCCCATCATTGGTATCAATGGAAGAAATAGTGGCCCATTCTTAGT